CAGATTAAGAATGAGGGAAAGCCTCACCTCTGTGTTTTACCCTTCATGCTATACTTGGTCTAGCATAAAGATTCCTCCTGCCAATTTAGTTTGTCAGTAGGAATGAGGGGAAGGAGTTTTATGGTCAAATGTTAAGAAAATTGCAATGGATTATTCTGGTAAATTGACAGTTTTCTCGACTTTGTGTCAAATGCTTTTGAGCATCTTCAGACCCTTCTTTGGTAGTAAGTACTGTGTATTTCCTTATTAGTCTTATCTTTGGAGTACATTGTGTTCCAAACATTATAGCAGCAAACTGAGGCATGAGTCTGCTTTGAGATAAGCCTGGCTGCCTTAAACTTTCTTCTTTGTTCATTCTGGATAAGTGCTCAAGTGCAGGGGACCATTGGAATGTCATTTTATTCCTTATACATCTATTCATTCTATATTTGCCATGTCCTTGGTTATGATGTTCAGCTACTCAGGCTGGAAGCAGCCTCTAGATCACACCAACTCTCAGTTCCTTATTCTAGCATTTTTCCCTGTGTGCACCATATGCCATAACCTTACCAACACACTCTTTCCAGTTGCTGCTAATTCCCTGCTTCGATTTCACATCCAACACTCCAACTGGAGTGTGTCACTTCAATCCAGTCAGCGATGCTCTTAAAGCACTGATGATTTAGTAGCTGTAAGAGACAAACACATTCTAACTACTATCAAAGAACATTAATCCAATGACCAGGAATATTCTGAAACGAGCTAGATATGGATAAAATCCCCAAATTAATTTTCCCTGGGAAATTTCAAAGTTTCAGGAAAAAACATTGAATCAATTTTCCCTATTCTTTGCAAAAGTAAAATGAAAGTGTCTCCATCAAGCAATTTAAATGAGTATTTTCAGATACTGCCACCGTATAGCACTAAGGATTTTAAATGCAAGCAGGATAGTACTGTCTGTCAGGAGGACTTTTCCCCCCCTTACAAAGTCCATTTTTCCTCTGTCTGCTGTGAAGTCACTATTATCTTCCATTCCCTGTAATAATGGGCTTAAGATCAAGTGAAACTGGAAATGGAAAGAACAGTGAAAGATGACAGACTTGAAGGGGGTTTATTGGAACTATGGGTTGCTCCTGAGGTCAGAATCAGTAAGTATAATTAGATTCCTGGCCTTTACAACAAATGTAAGGCAACTCAGAGATGTCTTTTGTGTGCATGTAATTAAACATGCACTTTTACTGCCCTCTGCAGTGCTGCAGTTACTTTGATTCTAGCACATGAAAGCTGATGGGAAGAGCAGGCGCAGATCTTCATCCCTTATATTGCGCTCATATTTCTGAAAACAAAGCGTTTTTCACAAGGAATGGAATAGCCCCTTTCTAAAGGGACACAAAAGGGAACGTTTGCTTTGGTAATAGTTAGAGCCATTCCAGCACCTCCCAGGAGCTTTCTCAACAGAAACTTGAATAGACAGCGCCCAGACAGCGTATCCCAGCGTAACCCATGAAGCTCCAGCTTTCCTCTTAAAACCAAGTTATTATCAAGTGCGTGAATCAGCACTTTGAGGAGAAATAAGTTTGTTCTCATGCTTAGACACAATCCAAGAGAGGTAAGTGGTAAGCTCAAAGAATGAACAGCACTGGTAATCCAGAAATACAGCGGGGCCAGAAGTGACAGATGTTAGATCTTCATTCCTTGCATGGTTTGTGCTTCAGTACTACCCAGATGCCACAAAATTAACTACTACTTGTATAGAATACATTCTGCTCAGCAGTACTTTCTCTCTTACCCAATTTCAGTGTATACACTACATCCACAGCACAGTTTTCTTTGAAAGTAAGATGGATTTTTGCCTCTTCCCTAAGTGACTTCAATCTCTTAACTGTTTATATAACGTTTTGCCAAAATTATCCCTGTGTGTAAGGCAGTACTCCAAAAGTCATTCTATAACAGTTAGTAACCAATCTTCTCCCATTTTGAAAACCACATAGAAGAAAACACAGAAGAGTAAGAACTTAAGTTCAAAATCCTGTCAAAAGAGCTCTTTTAGACATCCAGTGTTGATAAAGAAAGGCCTGGTCCCCCAGCAGACTTCTCCAGATATCCATAGAGCAGCACGCAGAGCTGCTGTAGGGACACTTTGCCTCTGTACCGGGGGGGTTATCTGCATTGGGAGCACAACAAAGCCCAAAAAGAACTGTAGTAAATACACACATGAACAAAGTGTTGTTTGAGTGGTGTTTTTGACTTTCAAATGGATTAATGGAGTAAAGATGGTTTCAGTTTGGATTCCTTAAAGAGGCTTAAGTCATACTATCAAATCTTCAAAACATCTGTCCTGCCCCTGATTTTTGAACAAGCTTCCCAGGTATTTAACAAAAAGGCAGGTATGTTCCTTAAAGCTTTATGTGACAACAGCCAAGTAATGAAGGAAGAACTAGTAATACCTAAGTGAAGGACAAGCTGGGGCTCCTTAGCTCCTGAACATCCTGCTTGCCATCCGATCAACACACATACACCAGCTACCCAGTCAAAACAGATGGAGCTTTAAATTAGCCACGGCTAAGACTGCTGTTAGTCGGCCAGGCATGGCATGAAGGATGCTGAAATAGGACAAGACTTGGCATGAAGAGAGTAAGAGAAACATAAACCAGAAGGCACAGATCTATAAAAAGCCATGTTGACAGGGCTCTGCTGCCCACATAACAACCTGCTCACTCTTATTTTTAATGGAATTTAACTTAATAAGTTTAATGTTTGACAGCGGCACTTGCCAGTTCTCCACGTGAAGCAAATGCCATTGTATACAACTACGCACAACTGAACATATGGGTGTTGTTTTTCCATAAGAGCAGTAATCTATCACCACACGTTAACCTAAATAAATGTCATCCCACGTTTAACCACAAGAGGGCTTTATTCTATTGCGAAAGAAAGCTGTTTCTCCATTCAGTGTTCAGCACGTCTGAAAAAGCATCCAAACTCAGACAAAATGAGTGCTCCTTTTAAATGCAATCCATAAAAACTAAGTTCTACAAGTAGCTGAAGCAAAGGGGAATCATTTGTAGGATTAAAGACATGGATGCCCAACTGCTTCAGGATAAACCCAAATATCTGAGCCTCTTTCACGAACAGCTACTGAACGCTGCTCCAGCTGCATTTCTGGGCTGAAGTGTTTTACCAACATACAGATAGTTCCTGGGTAAGCTTCCTCGCTGAACAGCACAGACCTCAAGAGCTTAACAGCACCTAGGGTTTGCTCCTAAGTGAAGCCAGCAGCATTAAGATACCTGTAAGCTAGCTGGAGCACAGTAGAGGGAAAGAAAATGAGGAGTAAATTAGATAAATTAGCGTTAAAAAAGGCACAGTAACATAGCAGGTTACACTGTGAAGCCAAAATGACACAACATAGCTCCAAAAGATGAAAAGGTGGAACAGAGATGGAGCTGAGCGGCCTCCTCTGGACTTGCTGCAACAGGTCCGTGTTTTCCCGTGCTGAGGGCCCCAGAGCTTCTTTTGCTGGTCACACTCATTTTGATGCAGCCAAGAACAGGGTTGGCTTCTGAAACTCAGGTTCAGTTCAACACACCACCAACTCCTGTCCCCCCTTAGAAATGTAATCTAATGGTTTTTGTTCTAGCACAGGGACTCCAGTACTGCCTTATTCTAGTTTTCCACATAAAGGATTAAAAAAAATCCCAGAGTAAATCAGTCACTTTAGGTGGTATTTTATGGCCTGTGTCACTCAGGAGAGCAGGTTACATATATCTGTTAGTAACTGAGGACTTAAGTGCATTTAAGTTAACCTGAACAGCCTGAGTGCACCCTTGAGAAGTTCTGCTATTTAATTTGTGCAGACTTTAGGTACAGCCTGAGGTTAAGAAGAGCATGAACAGAAACCAGTCCAGTGGTCACCTAATTCACTGCACCACTATTCCAGTGTAACACCACAAACTGGACAGCTTAAGTATTCCTACTCACTGCAGCAAGTGTATAAGCAGCACAAGCACCTGGTGTCTCCTGATAACCTTCAGCCTGTGACACCTGTAAGTGTCAGCTACTAACCTGCACCTTAAAGTTATGAAGGCAGAATCAAGTTGACACAAAATACTGGTTCCAGGTATGCAATATGTAGTTTTCTACATAAATCTTGCATTTCTCATTTCACACTGGGTAGAAGCACATCATTTAACATTAATACTTTATCCTAGACCAGTGTTCAGCTGCATGAATGGTTTGGTTCTTTGGTTACTCATTACTAATTTTTAAAACATTCAGAAGTAACACCCATATCCTCAAAAATCACTTGTATTAAAGTAGTTTAGTACTATCAATAACTAACACTCAAGCAGCGCAAACAGAGCTTGTTCAGCTTTGAGTGGCATACTCGAATGCATTCTCTGTTAAATACTAACAGCAAGTAGTCATAATTTGAAATAGAATTCCCAGGTAGTTTTGTATACAACTGTCTGTCATGCCTGTCATCTTGGTTAAAAACCAAGACATCTGGAAGTTGCTGTGGTATTTGGGAATGACCAAGGTCACTGGCCAGAAAGTGTGCCATGAAGAAAGCGAGGAAGAGGGCCTACTCCAGGTAGTAAGCAAGACAAGCTATCACTTTGCTGCCTTCTCTGGAAATAGATGCTAGGAAGGCTGTCCCCTCAACACCAGGGGGTAGCTTCAACCTTCTCCCAGTGCCACTGCTTCCTCTTGGAAGTTTCCCCATCAGATCAAGGTATCAGATTTTGAGTGCCTAACAGATAGCTAATAGTATTGCTTTCAGCTAGGATACTCGAGTTGAAAAGTGTGTGTCTTCACTGAGCCTGACAAGTGTTCTAACACCATAAATTCCATTTAAGAGATAAAACCATGTGAGGTGACTTTAACAAAAGGTCCTGTATAGTGAACAGGACTGAAGTGCTCACACACACACATCCGAGCCTTGAATCAGTCCCAGATCCGTGACTTCCAGCATTTTCCTGCATTTTGTTATCCACTAGTAGGAAATGAAGAGTCATGAGTAAATTCAGTTCCATTTATTTTCCAGCAACATCCCATACAAAAAGTGATAGAAACATTCACTGCTTTCAGCAGAAAATCTGTACAGTGTGATCATTTACAACAGGTTTACATTTAAAATCCAAAAATTAAGAGAATCGAGCACTTCCCCCAGGCACTGTTGCCTTGCCTGTATTAATAAATGACTCCTGACTATTTACAAGTTCCAAATTCAGGCTACTGTTTCTTAAAGCATTATTGCCCCAGCTTTAGCACCTTGACCTCCAATTTCTTGAGAGTATTTAGTTTTCAATTGTTTTTGAAGCATTTTTGCAAATAAGGGATCTTTTCTGTTGTTGTTAAAGGCAAGGCACACAATCTTCCAGCACATAACTGCAGGAGATGAGTTCAGGGGTACTAATCTGCAGTATGGTTCAAGTACCGCTTGTATTACTTCAAGTCAGATCGTTGTAGAAGAGTTAGATGGAAAGGAAGGCAGCATACAGATGCTCAAAAATACCTCCCTACTTTGCTCTTGATCAGGTAATGGACACAACTCAGGGGAATCAGTAAGATCTTGCTGAACTATTTAGAATTACTTGAGGGAAGCACTGCCTTTGGCTAGTTTTCTACTGACAGGTTTGATAAAAAACAAATCTGATATACATAAATAGGACATTAAAAACCCCACACAGATAACTGTAGTTTTACATAAGCTTGGCCCAGAGAACATGTCAACCAACCACAACTTCAGAGAACCATCTTCATCTTTGCTTAAGCTTTCTTATTATCAACAGCTTCTGAACCACGCAAACCCCTCAAACGTCTAAGAAACTTCCTCTAAAACACTTTTTGCATGGGACTGTTTAACTCACAGTATCGAAATCTTTAAGTGGTTCACTCAAACACACTTCCAAGTCAAATTCACCTTCGGCTTGATAGTCAATGTGTCTAATTTTGGTGGGAGTGCCAGAACAGGTATCCTGGAATACAAAGTCAGTTAATAATAATTAGCAGTTAAATACCAGTTTAGTTATGCAGCAGTTTGTTTCACTTCTGTAATTCATTTAGACCACCCCATAACAGGCTAACAAACACTTTAAAGGCCATACAAAACCCCAAGGCTAGTCTTAAGATTAAGGAGATTTAAATGAAGGCTTCTGCCCATTCGACCACATTCTAAGATTCCTTGCATGTTTTAAGGCTCTAATACGCATACATTAAAACATTATACAGATTCAAAGAAACAAGTCCAATAAGAAAAACATTACTAGATCTTTACTGAAGGTTACTGCTCAGCTGTACTAAATGCTTTGTTATAAAAGGAACCTACTTCAAAAAGCCTGAATGTGCCAAGAAAATGACATTCTACTTGAACATCAGACATTGCAACCTAAAGTAGTATTTCCACTGTACGTTACATTCATAACTGACATGCTTTGAACAGATAAACGTTGCTTTTGCACTCTATGAAAAATGAGAGATTTGTCATTTGAGATGGTCACTTCAGCTCTAACTCTCTGAACTCAGACTACAGACACAGTGGCTACGGCTCGGAAAATGTCTGAATCAGATCACAGAATCACAGACTGTTCTGGGTTGGAAGGGACCTTAAAACTCATCCAGCTCCAATCCCCTGCCGTGGGCAAGGACACCGTCCACTACAGCAGGTCGCTCCAAGCCCCTGTGTCCAACCTGGCCTTGAACACTGCCAGGGATGGGGGCAGCCACAGCTCCTCGGGGCACCCTGTGCCAGTGCCTCACCACCCTCACAAGGACGAATTTCTTCCTTGTATCTAATCTAAATCTACCCTCTTTCAGTTTAGAGCCATTCTTCCTTGTCCTGTTCACTACATGCCCTCATCAGAAGTCCCTTTTCAACTTTCTTGTAGGGCCCGTTAGGTACCAGAAGGCTTCTTTAGGGTCTGATCTCTCAGCTTTATAGAAAGTCCCTAAACACAGCGTATTATGGAATTTCTCATGTATTCAGGCTACTCCAAGACAGAATTCTAAGTACCAGACCAAATATTTATGCAAATGACAGCTATGCTTACATCATTATCTTGACAGCTCGTTTGAGATTCAGAAGTGCTTCCAACAGATTCTGTCTCCATCTCACCAAGGTCAACAGGACGACTGTAAAATAATTAAAATGAATACAGCTTAAAACAAATTCATTTTTTTCCAATAGGAAGTTGCACTTGGTAGGTGCAGTTCTAAAAAGGATGGAATCATGGCCAAACAAGAGCAGAGACCCCTACAGAGATTACAGGGACAGTGGTGGCAAACTGCAGAGGCCAAACAGAATAACAGGTCAACTCAATGCAGCCCAAGTGACTGTCTTGAGATCAGCATCAGTGCTATGGAAAAACAGTAGTTTATTACCATAAAAACACTGCCTGAGGAATTAGTTACATCTGTGTCCCCTTTGTTATGTCCCATAGTTGTATTTTGGATGTTACCTGATCAGCTTTATTGCTTTCTATAGAGAAGAGTAACTAGGTGTATCATTGTACATCTTCTAGACTAGAATACTGCAGAAGCTTGGACTGCAAACACTTTGTGGCCATGCTTTTAGTTTAGTGGTACCTTAAGATGATTTTACTAGTACTTCTTTCCTCCTCTCTGTTCAAGAAACAGAATTTAGACCACTGTTCTTGAACTAGCAAGTGAGAAGGCTTGGAGGCAGGTTCTCATACACTGCACTGGTCCAAGCTCAATATTCATGAGATCTGTCAGTTCGTAAGAGCTAGCCAGCACTGCTTCTACCACAGATTAATCTGCTGACTGCTCTGAAAGAGTCAGCCTGCCCTGATGGTGCAGCATTTCCTTTTATACAGCACCGCAGAACGAGCTCAAATTTCACCCAGTGGGCATACAGGAAAGAAGTGACGGGTATATATGAACCCTTGCAAGGACGCTAGGTAAGTCTAGTCCCACCAGGTAGGTCCAGAAGATATTTTGTCTGGGAAGGAACCGAATAGCACTAAATGGGGACAAGTAACCAATGAAAGCTTTCAGCAATCACTGGTTTGTCTCAAAAAGGGCTATGCTGGGTGAAACTGTGTTTCTGCTTTCCTTTTTTTTTTTTACCATGAGATTTTATCTATTAATTTCTATAAAGGTATCTTGAATATTGTGTGCATACATGTCTTGCAAGTCGCATCCCTCTTCAGTAGGTGGATCCCAGGAATGCAGCGCAACTTTCCATAGCTTAATTTGCTGGTCCCATGACCTGCGGCTGTACTTCTTAAACTTATTTGGAGTTCTGGGATGGACTCCTGGTATACGATGGCATCTATTCAGGTTAGACATGAGAAAGTCATTAGTGTTCTCTGCACACACCTACATAACATGTAGCTTTAAGCATTAAGGCTGAAGCCTGCTCCACAAACTCATGACAATGCAGCAAATTCCAGCATGATCAATGAGAAAAGATTAGGCAATTTCAGCACTGAAATTGTCAGCTCCATACAAACTTTCTTGAAGTCAAACAGAAAAGTCATAGGCCTGAAAACCTCATTCTGAAACTAAGAGCAACCATAGTCCAGTTTGTCTTTTAGCTTACTAACAAGATAACTGATTGCAAAAAGCAGTTTCGTTTCCTCTAGTTGACGAGCACAACAAAAGAACTTTCACTTCCATTTCTGCAGCACAAGAAAGTTTGAGGGGACATTCCTCATGTACTGAGCAGTAAAAATATCCGCATCTCATCTGATTATTAGTGCGACTTCATGGTTAGTAGAAGAGTTAATTTGTAGATGCCTTCTATTTCGATGTGTCTCAGATACCAAATTCAGTACATTAATGTGCTTACAAAGAACAGGTATGACTTACAATTGAATGGCTAGTATTCCAGCAACTCCAGCAGCTTACCTAGGAACTTCTTTAATGTATCTATCATATGCAATTGTGTTTTTTCCGTAGTTTATCTGTTTTTGTCTTCTCATCAAAACCACTTCATCTGTTTCAAGTTCTACTGTCACAGTGGACTCCTTTGAATCAGAACTAAAGAAAAAACATTGTTGATTTGGGACTAGTAGAAAACAAGCAACACTCAAACCAACCCACGTGTAGATTATACAGAAACACATTAAAGCTTCTCAGAAGAGTACTTGAGATGTTACTGAACTATGATGTTACAGCAGCCTGAAGACAGAATCATTTCACAGAATGGTTTGGGTTGGAAAGGACCTGAAGATCATTCAGTTCCAACCTCCCTGCCATGGGCAGGGACACCTCACACCAGACCATGTCACCCAAGGCTCTGTCCAACCTGGCCTTGAACACTGCCAGGGATGGAGCAGTTACCACTGCTTTGGGCACCCTGTGCCAGCGCCTCACCACCCTCACAGGGAAGAGCTTCCTCCTTATATCTAACCTGAACTTCCCCTGTTTAAGTTTAAACCCATTACTCCTTGTCCTATTGCTACAGTCCCTGATGAAGAGTCCATTTCAAACTCAGCATTTTAAGAAGCAACATGTTACACATGAAAGTTCAGGCCTATTGTCAGGATTCCCCTCAGCTATGCTACAGATTTAACCTACCTTCCTGAGGAGGACTTCCTTTCTCTTGCAAATTCATTTATCAGGAGTTTTCTTCTGTATCTGTAAGAGTTCAAAGCAGTATTAAGAACATACATACACAAAGTGAACATGTAAAGCTCCACTGTCACAGCTCACAGGTGATTTTACTTCTCAGCTAAGCGGCAGTTTTGAAGTCAACCCAGACACTGTAAACATCTTTCTACTGTGGAATGGATGTTTCAGTTTTTCCTAAAAAAAGAATTCTGCAGACTTCTTTTTTCTAAGTCTTTTCACTAAATATTGTTTTACAGCATTGACTTAAACCCCCTCCAGTAATTACAGAATGGACATTCAAAGTAGTCCAATCTAAGAGATTCAGGACAGGGGAGATATTTAAGTGATACACACCAAACCTACAGACAGCTGCTCTGTAATTCCTGCAGGACTTAAACCAAAACTGACCTCAAAGCAGCAGATGAGAAGCTGAGGTTGGTCTGATTTTATTACAATAGACAAGTTAAAAATCAAAGTCAACACAGATTCTACATGACAACTGTCATTCCCCTCCCTTTCCTCACTTCACCTTAAGCATCCATAGGTACCTTGCAATTTCTTTATTAACATTGGTCCTCATTTCATCTTCTTCCACTGCAGTTCCCCAATCTGAGCACCGGGAAAGGGGTCCAGGGCCTTCTGGTGTTGTAAAACTAGAAAGAGGAGGAAAAAAAGGAGAAAGCTTCTACATTAAAATTCTATTTTATTGTATTGTATTTCCCAACCTAGCATCTCCCTCATTCACAGCTTGATCATTGTTTAAAGTATTCATTTACAGGACTCACAGTGGCTGTGAAAATCTTGTATTGTTCTGTTAAAACATCATCACTTCAAATTAAGCAGTTTTATAGGAGACAAAAGTTAGCATACAATTAAATTGTACAACTAATTAAAACTACATGATAGCACCAGGAGTTTCTCCACTTGAAAGTACTAGAGTACTAGTACTATATATAATAGAGAACTCAAAGGCACAAAAAAGGGCAATTTTTAGCTAGTAAACCGAGATTTGCTATAACTTTGCAAACTGGTTTTTAACAGCTTCATTGTAGCCCATTAGCATGACAAGCAGATTCAGGCGGTTGCAGTGGAATAAGTTTATATCCCTTCCCAGCCATCAGTAATTGCCCAAATCCAGATTATTTCATGTGTTTTCCAGTTTCTGTCCTTTTGATAACCACTTCTCCTAAAATACCAACCCCAAACCAGTAGATCTGGAAAGGCTTTGCAGGCTTACCAGGATTCTGTGCAAAGATGTCCCTTGAAGTCAGGGAATTAGATTAATCTGTGCTAAAACTAGTTCCAATGCCCTGCTTCCAGCTCAGAAATCAGCTTACACTACTTACAAGTTTCTGTTAAATTCAAACTAAGAGTTCTTTTTAGATAAAACCCAATTACCAACTCAGAAAAAAAAAGAAGTCCAGAGCAAATCAGAGAATGGTTAGGGTTGGAAAGAACCTTAAGATCATCCAGCTTCAATGCCCTGCCATAGGCAGGGACACCTTCTACTACAGCAGGTTGCTCCAAGCCCTGTCCAACCTGGCCTTGAACACTGCCAGGGCTGGAGCATTTACCGCTTCTTTGGGCAATCTGTTCCAGGTCCCTCTGCAAGCATCTGGTCAGCCTCCAAGGATGTTTAGCATTTCCTGATATTGATGTCCAACTGCAGAAAATGCAGGCCACATTCAATTATTGCTCTCCCATGGCGATGGGATAACCCAGAAGTGATGGGTCAGTCCCACCACCTCAGCTTTTTCCTCAACACAGTATCACCCCTTTCTATACTTGTTTGACTCTTCACTAGGGACTGTAGTGATAGGACAAGGGGTAATGGGTTAAAACTTAAACAAGGGAAGTTTACATTGGATATAAGGAAGAAGTTCTTTACTGTGAGGGTGGTCCCTGCCCATGGCAGGGGTGTTGGAACTGGATGATATTAAGGTCCTTTCCAACACTAACTATTCTATGATTCTGTACCTGTGCTGTGCATGCACAGAACTAGGGAGCACATGAGAGGGTCTACAGCTTTTTCTCTTGACTAAATTTGCTCTGGTGCCAGACATACTGACGTCAGCTGTCTTTCTCAAGATTCTCATCCCCATGTGCCATTTAACACTTGGTGAGAAGCTCTGGTGCTGTGCTGGGACTGCAAAAGGTTCTCAAACCCTGCCAAGCTGGCAGAAAAGCAAGGCTATAAGCACCAGCAGTCTGTTGTATGATCCAGCCTCCAAACCTGACCCTCTTTCCATTTTAAAAACCTTATTTTGGCAATGTTGAATTGCCATAAGCAATGAGGAGCTTCAGCACAGGAAGAGAACAACTTCAATCAGAGGTGAATCCAAACTAAACCAGGGAGTACACCTGGTCAGTTCAATACTGGGAGACACTCAGAAGCATTGCTTATTTAGGTTGAATCCGATGAAGTAGCCTGTAAAGTTTCTTCCTTGTATTTCTATTCAAACACACTTCCTGAAATTGATTCCATTTATGCTGGATATCATCATTTGAACTATTGGCCAATGTCTTCCCTGCTTATTATCAGCACAGAAAAATTGGTAGTTGTAGTTCAACATCTTATTTGAGACTAGAAATCTAGATGCAATCAACTGGATGGCAGCCTCAGCTCCAAACCACTGATAAAAGGGACTAAGGGGACTGTGGCAGGAATAGCTCAGATGCAGACAGTGATATGAAGTAGGATCCTTTCCCTAAACTGAAGCTTATCTGTGCTGGAAAACAAAGAAGCAGGGAGCAGCACTATGAGCAGAGTGAATGACTGTGGAGGCAGAGCACACCACACACAGGCTTCAGACACTTTAAACACAACTACCCAAGGCAGTCTGTGCCCTAGTCAGAAACATGAAAAGATGACTTTAATACTTGAATCTTTAATTTGCCATCTCCTTTGATTTTGCCACAGCAGTATGCACAGTCTATATCCACAAACACACATAACGGGCTCTTGCAGTTACTGCTTCATAAATGGCTATAAGCAAGCATGAAATAGGTCAGAAAATAATATGGAATGTAACTCAGGACCCAAGAATGAAAAATGTTTAAGCAGCTCCAAGATAAGAACACTGCACTGGATTGCTTTCCCTCCTTGCAGACCAGCTATTTACGGTCGGCAAGTGATTTATAGAGAGGCAGGGCCTGCAAACCCCAGTACAACGGTCAGCTCAGCAGCCCTCGATGCACAAAGGCGCGCAGGGTGGCTCCTATGCCCTACCTGTCCAGCCTGCCGTCAGAGCCCGCGCACTTGCTTTCATCGAAGACGGATGGTTCGGGCTCGTGCTGCTTTCTCCGCTTCCCATCGGCGCCACGTTTCCTTCCCTGGGACCAGCGAGGCGGGGGCTGCGGGCTGGAGGCGGACAAGCCAAGGGGTGAGCACACCAGGTCGCTTTCGAAGCATCGCCGCGGGCAGACAGCGCACGTTACCTGCCACGAACACCAGCGGCTGCGGCCCGCAGCGGTCCCCCAGGGAAGGAGCCCTCGCTGTTAACGCCACCCTCCGTTACAGACAAGGGAACCTCACCCCGCTCCCCTCAGGCGGGCCCGCACCTCCCCAAGGGGCACAACATGGCGGACACCGCGCAACGCCCGCGCAGGCCTCGGCTCCCCCGTCCCCACCGCCTGAGGCACCACCGGTACCGCCGCTCCCGGGGCACCGCGGTCCTACCTGCTCGTGCTGCTGCCGTGCGGGCTCCTCTGGCGGAAGGACATGGCGCGCGGTGTGTCCGGGATGGCGGCAGCGGGCTGCGCGGCAGCGGTGCGGTTCGGCGGCTCCCCTTCCCGCTCAGCCCCTTCGCATCTCCCGCCGGCGCTGACTGACGCCCCTCGCCGCGCCTCCCGCAGAGGAGCTTGCGCCGGACTCACCATGAGGACAGGTATGGGGGGGGGTGTGAAGAAGGGGAAAGCGCAGCCTCCAGCTGGAATCCTCCCCCCTCCTAACCCCGCCGAGCAGAGCCGCTGCCGGCCATGAAGCGAACACGCTGTGAGCAGCGGCGCTCCCTCACAGGCAGCCCCAAAGACACCTACCATACCATACCCCCCCCCCGGGGGTGCAATGGTTTAGCCCGCTCCCCCCCCCGGCCCCGCCCCTTCACAGGGCGTGTTGGCGGGAGAATCAAGCGCGCGGTTTTGGCGCGCTGTCGGGGGGGCGGGAAGGCGGCGGTGCTTTAATTAGCGGGGTTTGTTACCGCACACGCGTGGTGCTTGCGCAGAGAGAGCCTGTCCGTGTGAGGGATGCGGCGTGCGCAGGGGTTTTACATCGGTCATTTGGGAGCAGCCCAACTCCTGCCGGAGAGCGCACACCTGGGCCAGCGGGACACTCGAGACATGTACAGTGCTCCTTCCGGACTCAGAACCACAGAATCATTCAGGTTGAAAAAGGCCTTGAAAACCACAGAATCCAACCGTTAACCCAGCACTGCACGTCCTCCACTGAACTGTGTCCCTCAGTGTCACATCTACCTGTCTTTTAAGAACCTCCGGGGGTAGTGATGCTTCCCTGGGCTTGACAACCTTTTCAATAGATAAATTTTTCCTACTATACAGTCTAAATCTTCCCTGGCAGAACTTGGTCATTTCCTCTTGTCTTACCACTTGTTATGTGGGAGAAAAGACTGACACAGACCTCATGGAAGCCTCTCTTGACTTCTTGTAACTTCATCACTGCCTCCCTGAAAAATCAATAATGGATGGTAATCTGAGGGATGTACAAGGGGTAGGAAACTTTCTCCTCACATCTTATCTTTAACCTAGGCTCCAAGGGAGGCAGCAGACTTCCTAGGAAGTGAGTTCTGTCTGCTGCATATTGGGCCTTCTCTTCCCTGCAGGTGGGATTCTCCTATGACCATGACCCCATCTTCTTTTACCCTGTGGAAGCAGTTTTGACACAAACCTGGGTGAAGTGAAGCCAATTGTCATTACTCTGACAGGCTCTATTTGAGTAACGCCAGATCGGCAATGAAATGTATTGAATGAATGGCAGAAGTAGCAAACAAAAGTGGTGTTGGGTATTTTCTGAGCAGCTTAAGACAAAAGCAACTACCAAAGCCCCCCAGTGAGAAGTACCATTTACAGGTGGCATTTGTTTTCATTTGATTTTATGAAGATAATTCATGCATAGCAAGGTTGAAGTGGATGTTGAAAAGGAGAATTTGCATCTCTACTGGTGAAGTGGAGCATGGTTTCACAACTGTCACGTAATCAGTTACAGAAATGAAAGATGCCTCCTACTTTGGCTTGTTTCTGGTCATAATTTACACAGATTCAGAGCTCCCGTTGTCCATAAACTGCATAGAAAGAACAGAGGCACCAGGCAGGGTGGGCGGCAGTACAAACCTTTGAGCACTAGGAAGAATGAATTGCCTGTACAGCATAACTGTAGCTGAAACAAGTGTTGCTTTGGATCCATATTAAGCAGTCCTCAGACGAACTGCACACCTGCAGTATGCAATACCTTTTAGTATTTCTGCCTCTTCTTCACCACGTGCTCCCATGAATTCCACGTCTCTAGACTGAAATCTTGAGTAGTTCCAGGAACTTCTTCCCTCTTCCTGATTAATTTTGAGCATTGAACAGAACAGCCTATAGGAACATCTCAGCTGAAATGTGGCAAATAACTAGTCCTTCTTAATCCCCTTTTCAGTTTGCAGATATAGAAGGGGGCTTTATCCACAGCAGTTCAAAGCCATACAGCACAATATCTACAGCTGTGTTTAACTCTAGGTGTGAAAGCAAGGATAAGGCGGCAGATGAGGGTGCCAGATCAGCTCAGGAAAACCTGCTGAGTTTTCTCCTACCAGAGATCACTGCATTACATGTGAGATCTTGAAGGCCAAGAGGAAGCACCTGCTGCTCAGTGAGGCTCAGGATCACTCAGATGTGTCAGAGATCCTCTTCACGGTGAATTCATAAAGCTCATTGCACATTGTCTTGTTAAAAGCGAGAGACATTCACACTTTGTTCTGAAAAGGCACAAGCTAAAGAAGCCATTATCAGACTGCTCCCTGCCAGCCTACCTTGGGAAACGTTCAGACAATCGTTTGCCATGGTTTTGGCATTTGAGCACTCTGAGGTCTCACCAGCTGGTTTACTCTCTATTGTTTTTCTTTTCATTACTTTTTCCTCAACTTTTTAATGGTTTTACACTTTTTTTCCCCCACTGAAATGTTTCACTTCTACAAATTGGATCTGCATTCGCATTATGGATGTGCATCTCAAAGACTCCTGGTAAATATGTTTGGAAATGGTGTTTTCCTGCAGTTTTTGCCCCAGAGACCTCTGTAGGAGGGTGTCTTCAAAACCCCTGCCTCTGGGTGGTAACAGTCACTGGCTCTATGCACAGTGAAACACTGAGACCTGAAAATAGTAGTGTAAGGAATTATCTTGGGCATTTGATTCCCTTTGCCTGTAATTGTACAAACTCTCACATCTTCTGTGTGGCATCTGCATAAACATCCACGCTCCAGCAGGGATGTTTGCTATGCTAGCACCAATCCTTTCCCACACACTGCTATGGAAAACAGAACTGTGTTGCTGCACCAAGGACATGCTGGGAGGACAACATAGGTTCAAAACACGTAAGAACTCCCTCTCCTCCAGCCTTGCTTGCAGATAAGCTGACTTAACAGCATGTTTACCTGAACACATCCAAGCAAGCCAGAGAAAGGACAACTCCAGCATGGACACCACACAGTACTCTGAGCATAATGCTACTTACAAGTAAAATTCAGTTCATCCAGAACTATCTGCTGTAAACACATCCTAGGGATTACAGCTGCCTTCCATCTTGCCATCCTTGTCAGCAAAGAAAATCCTTCAAAAGCACTTCACCACAGTGGGAATTTTAAGGGGAGGAGGGAGATATCCTCATCACTGTGACCTGCAAAGAGCAGCTTTAAAACCAAAACAAAGTACACATCACAAATGGCATTCCAGAATTGCTAGGGAACGACTGTTCCTACAAGCACAGATAACGTATCACCCATGAGGAGATTCTCCCAGCACAAGCATGCCAACAGAAGATACATGGAAGAAATTTCAAGCTGGCTGATGAAGTTCAGAGCACATTTCAGCTTAATTATGAACTGAGCACAGATTTATGCAAAGTGGGTTTAATTAAAACGGGTGTCGTGGTTTAAGCCCAGGCTGTAAATCAGAACCACGCAGTCTACTCCATCCCTTTCTTCCCCACTACCCTCTCCCGGAGGGACAGGGAGGAAAATCAAAAGAATGTCACTCCCATGGGCTGAGATAAGAGCAGTCCAGCAACTAAGGTGTAACACAAACCACTGCTGCTACCACCAATAATAATGATAAGGGAAATAACAAGGGAAGAGAATACAATACCACCCATCGAAACCCAGCCCAACCGAGCAGAGAACTAGCCGATCCGGGTAACTGTCCCCAGTTCTATATCCTGGGCATGACGTGCTGTGGTATGGAATACCTCTTTGGCTAGTTTGGGTCAGGTGTCCTGTCTCTGCTTCCTCCCAGCTTCCCCTCCTCCCTGGCAGAGCGTGAGATTCAGAAAGTCCTTGGTCAGACCAAACATTTGAGCAGTAACTAAAAAGATCGGTGCTATCAGCGCTGCTCCCAGGCCAAAAGTCAAAAACACAGTGCTGCACCAGGAGAAAAAAATGACTGCTACTGCTGAACCCAGGACAACAGGTAACACTGATGTAAGGCTATCAAAATAGCAAAAACTTGGATAGATAAGCAAATGGAAGGACTGCATTCCAGTTTTAACTGCTCTGTTCAGACTGATGTGGTTACTGCTACAAATTAGATGTTGTGATGGCTCTACATCTTCCAGTGGCAGCATGAAATGATTTCAGCAGACCTCAAATCTCATCTGCCCAGTTTCACTCTTCCGCTTTTGCTACCATAGGCTGTCCAAGTGTACAGAACCTAGATTAAGGAGTAAATCTGCCCCAGTTTAACTGCCACAGGCAGATTGGTTATCCTGTTTCTAGTCTAAGTATCTTTAACCAAAAACTATAAGATCTTTTAAGGACTCCTGAACAAATCCTATGGATCCACTTCAGGCTCCATCCACCATAGGCAAAAGCTTAAGGGCTCTTATGTTTATACTGAGCTTAACTATTTCATGACAGCCTACTGCTGTCACCCAACTGCTCCATACTCTTGAGGAAGACATGACATCTTCCTCATGCCAGAATGAGCACTATGGCTTCAGCTGCTCCCTTCCACTAGGTTACAATGCACCAAATATAACTTCATGACAAGATACCAAAATACAAACTGAGGGGTTGGGTACAAACCAAGTTGTGAACTCCCTTTAAGAGTTGGATTTAATCTCTGAAGCATCCTCCTTCCCCCTTTTGGCAAGGGCTAAAAACCAACCCCAGAGAAACAAAACACCCTCACACAAAGAGGACTCCTGAACCCACATATTCCTTTTATAATGGAACTCAGTGTAACAGCAAAAGCAGAGTAACAGGAATTTTTAAAGTCTTTAATTCTTCTGCATAAAGACAAAAATGCCAAAAACATACCATTCCCTTATTTACAGTCATCATATATCATGACAACATGCACACTGGAGAAAGAAGGTGCTAAATATTACTTCTTTAAAAAGTGCTGTACAGGTGTGTTCCTTCTATACACACACCCCATCCTCTGTGGTGTGCAGCTGAGCCCTTGTGCTGGAACACTACTGAACCCCATGCCCCAGCAGCCTGGAAATAATGTTTTGGAATGAACTGGGAGTAGTTTTGGGGAAGCAGCTTAGTTCCACATCAGTAGCACAATGGGCTTTAGGGCCCTGGGTACACTGCCAGCCCCAGAGCAAGGCTGATGTGTGACATCCCTGGCACTGCCATAGCTCTGCAGTGGCCCTGTGAAAAGCCAACCAAACTCCTGCAAAGAGCCAATTCCCAGCTCTAACAGACATTTGTGTCCCAGTACATGCTACATAAAATGCCACAAGGACTGTAAAACATTCTTGTAACTGGCACATGAAGCCGGTCTGAAGGCCATTATAGCCACAGCCCTCAGTGAGCACAGTGCTAAGAGAATAAAACAAAGTAGAACCTCTTTCAGCACCATCACAATCCTTAGTCTGGATAAGAGCAGCTCTAAACCTGCAAATACTGCTGCTCACCTCCAGTTCCTGTAGGAACAGCAGGCACTGAACTCATTCTCTTATACACTTAACAGTAGATTGGCTCTTTGCATTAGGCTGCAACACACACAAAAGCAAATCCCAGGTATTTAGATTGTGTTGCTGTTCAGTCACTCATCCCCTTGAAGAGAAGGATCTGATTTTGATAAATCATCTGCCTTTCCTTTCTCTTCTCTCACTAGCTTAAGCAAATACTAACTTATCTTACGTCAGAGAATGGTAAATAAGCCAAACAGAGGATCACCCGATCCAAAAGCTAAGAACAGATTGTCTCTTTAACAGCTGGAAAAAGGCTGAAATTATCTACATTCTTTTGAAACAGTTCTTCGGCTTGGATGTACAATTCTGGTCCAGTAGAGGAAACAGGGTTTGAACTCCTTGGTTTAAGAGGTGACATTCTTCAGTTTAACTTGACATTGGACCAGTTCACCAGCATAACACCAGTGTACTATAAGTAGCATGATCTCCAAAGAGCAACAGCAGGATCCATCAATCGAAGCAGCCTTTACAATATGATGCACGTCATCTGTCAACGCAGCTACAGCAGAAACATTCTCACAAAAGCTTTAAGGAACATCCACCATCATTGTAGCACAGGCTTAATGAAATCAGAATTACACTTGAGGCAGAGGTTGCAGAAAAAGTATAATCTATCCATAGGGATCTTGAAAAACCTAAACAAAGAGGTAGATAACAGCGGTTTATAAGTACGATGTATCAGAATCATAGATTATCTAGTCATTAACAACACTTTTAAGCTATAGTTACAGTCTGGAACACAGCACTGCATATGGTGAGATTAAAGCACTGTGTAAGAGAAAAAGCCATACTGCCCCTATTAAAGAAAGTGTTACAGACAGAATGGACATTTTGAGAACGTAAGTTATTGGAAACACAGAGTACTACATACCCTACAGTCCCAAAGTATCTATCAAAGCAAAGATGAAGCAGGTGAGCCTATCCTTCCCAACCCCTCACATCATTTTCATTTCATTATTAATTCATAATATACATTTTTCTCTCAATTCTAATTATCATATTCCTGCTATATCTTAAGTGTCCTACTGAGTAAGGTTTTTTCCTTTAAAAAGCAGCCAGATATATTAAAACTTATGGACATTTAATTGGGCTTTAAACCAGCCACATTGATTTTTCCTGTTTTAGATGGAAATTTTCTTCTAGCAAAAAGGCAGGTAGTGTGGAGTTCTACCACATACCCACTATCTGATTTTCAAGCAATATTCACCTTCCACACATGAAGGAATGTGAAGTTCCTGCCATCTGAGAGTTAGAGCTCACTGCATCCAAAAACCATGGTTAAAGGCAGTGTCTCTCTAAATACTTATCTTTGCATCCCAGGAAACCAATGCATTGCTCTATAAGAGGCTACTTAAGACACTTAACATTACTTTACATTTTACATGTCACAAAGATATATTTTTAATTAGAACACGCGATTATGAACCCACTGAATATATGCACTCCTTAACAGAGCCTTATTTACAATGAAGACAACTGCAAAGCAGCTACACATCAACTAGCCAGAAGATCAGAAAGGCTCTCCTAACTGTAATGTGTAGAGAAATGCTTCCTTTACCTGCACATTTTCCTTATGTTGATTGCACATATGCTGACTGTAAATGTCTTCTTCTTTCAGTGCAGGTCATATGCGACTGCACCAGTTTTCCAAGACTTGATCAGCTCATCTCAGACTACATCCCTATCCTTCAAATCATTTTCCATCACAGGAGAAAGTCCTTCTTCGATACTTCTATATACAAAGAGAGACTAGATAGTTCAAATACTGAATTAGCACTTTAGGAAAATGAATTCCCAAGAAGTCTTATGCTCAAAGAGTTTAAATTTAAAATATCAATAAAGTCAACAGAAAAATGCCATTTGCACAATTTAAAGGCTCTGCTTTTTCCTCTAATCGCTAGAAATCAAAAATCTATAGTGTAAAACTAATTGCATGCTATATTCTTAATGAGTTCTGTAATGCAAAAATATTCCAAGACCTCTGTTAAACAGACATTTATATCCAAGTCCATAATGCTTCAGAGCCTGTCTTTGATCTACATTTAATGCAATCAAATTACACAAAATGCTATCTGCCAATAAAAGCTGCTTGACTCAAGATTACCACCCATCCTAGGAATCCATACAGGAATCTAAGGTCCAAGAGAAAATTTCCATTTAAATCTACAGCTGCAAATGCACAATTGTGACTTCATGATAAAAATACTAAAAGACAGAAAACCTGTTACTGAAATATCTCAACCTGGTGCGTTGCATTTGGGTGATAAAACACATTTGTTTTTCTGGCTGAACAGGTAAATATTTCAGTTTACCAAATCTGAAGTATTAGATCTTTTAATTAAGGTGATGCATTAAATACAAGAGAATGGGATAAAATACTAATACATGACTAAATAGAGAAACTGATCTGCTTGAACTGAACAGCTGGATTCCATAGAATGATATTGCATATGAGCTACTGAACCAGAACAGGTAAAATAAGTAGTCAGCTTGAACTCACCTTGGTATTTAAATGTTCTTCCTCATTATTCTCTCTCCAGCACTTCCCCATCCCCTTTCAGGGTACTCTGACTGATGTCCTTCCAACAAACTGCTACAAAGTTTAAGCCTACAAATATAAAAACCCCCAGAGACTGAGTGACTTTCTGATGGCAACCTTTTCATACTAAATACAGCTGCAACCTCTATTTACACTAATATAGACTACAGTGTGAGAATGTGACAGAATTCTAGCATGCAACACATAAATATTAGCCAACAGATCCCTAAGCAACATGCGGGAAACAATACAGACCTCTATAATAAAAGCTTAGATTGAAATACAGCAATAAAGCAACTATGCTTCTAAACTTCATATGCAAAAAAAGCCCCCCATTGATGAGCTGCATCTTATACCTCTCAAGCCTGCAGTCTGTATCTCTCCAAGTTTTGCTGTCAGGCAGAAAGAAGTTGGGATTTTTCTGTTTCTGATTGTTCCATCCTGAAGAACAGCTGGCTGGAATTGGGTCACTGCATGAAGACAAAGAACAGTCATTGTGGTCAGCTACAAAATAACTTAATCTCTAGGGAGGCAGAGAGGAAGCTTTTAGCTCCTAGGCTGAGGAAGTGAGAGGCCAGTAAAAACAATAGGGACCAATTCTGTGAAATGCCATTGCTTTCCATGCAACAGAGAGGGTGAAAGGGGCTCTTCATCTTCCAGCATTACATAACAGCAGAATTGGCAGGAAGCAATAGATGGACTGGAAAAAGCCAAGTAAACTCAACAAAAATAACCAGAGATACCACATGTTGGAGGAAATGTAAGGGGAAAAAGTAGTATTAAATAGCGAAGGAAAAGAAAGATTAAAAAAAGCAAAGGACAGGACATTCACAGCACAAACAATAAAAAGAAAGTCACAATCATTACAGTATTTACCTTATTTCAATACCATGTTGTACTGTCATTACTTCATCGTGTTCACCAAAAGCTTCCCACTCTGAGCACTTTGAAAGAGCCTCCTGATCTCCTGATTCAGTGAGACTAAAAAGAAAGTGAAAAGGTCTGAAACCATGGACCTCTGTAACAGTTCCTCTTAATTCTTCTGAAAGGGTGTAAGCAGAGAAAGAAAAACACACCTCTACAAACATTTTTACAAAGACTAGTGTGAAAACCTTTCAATCACTGTTCCCTTAGAAAAGTGGAGCTGACAAAACTCTATAGAGTTAAGCCATGCTCTCCTCCACACAGCCTATCATTTCTCATTTATAGAAAGACTTCCTATGCAGCAGCTAGGAAAGAGGAGCCTAAAACACTCGACCCTTCTGTTAGCAATTTTTGAACATTAACCTCACTTTGATCCAGTCCCAGGCTGGGTGACCAACTTCTTGTTGTTCCAACAAGTATTTTCTTCCATAACATCTTTCATAAGGCAAACAAAAGCTTAAACATACACAAAGCTTCTTTCACACCCCTTCACAGATACATATTCTCTGTAACAACTGCAGCAAACATAACACGGCAATAGTTAGGCAGTGAGTCTCAGTATTTGCTGACCAACTTCTGAGGGTGCAATGGGCTCCATTCCCTTATTGTAATGTTCATCAACTTGTACACTCTGTCTGCCAAAAAGCAGAATGCAGTGCATGTAAAGCAGAATGCAGTGCATGGATGAGGTATGAGAAATAACCTGCAGATGCCTAACAATGTCAGAATTACAGCCTCTGAAGCAGAAACCAGGTTTCGTGAGAAATCAAAACCAATACATTAGCATTGCCTAAATCTACACACCCAAAATTACCTATGTTGTGTCTTCTGACACTGCAGTATCTTCACCTTTGCAATGCACCACTGTAAATATTTATCATCATATAACACAATTCTGGTATGATATCATTTCCTCATTAAATTGCATGCACATTTAGATACAGTTAAAGCTATTAATAATTGGGGGGATAAATATGAATCATATTCCAAAATTCAGTTCATAGTATCATTCTCCATATGGAGAATCATTTCATACCTTCCCAGAGTGTGGTACATCTGCACATAACGGTTTTCGCCCTTTGAAATCACAGAGGAGTCAGGATTGTTTCTTTTTCTGCGTTTCCATACGGGAGAAGAACCTGGAGAACAGGGACTATGAGAAAAGACAGATTTTACACACAAAACAATCTGTGTTTAAATGCTTATCAGTGTTCTGCAAAATAATGGCAAGTGCTACACAGGAAGACTTTTTTTGAGGTATGATTCTTCAGTCATAGCAGAGAAACAAGAGAAAATGGCTCAAATTCTGGTAACCACTTCACTGTATTTTGGACAGTAAACTCAGTCACAATCACAGAAGACACTTTGAATCAGAGACCATTTCAGCTCCACAAACATGCCCCCAGATCAAGATATCTCTGTGAACAGGGAAGTGCATGAGGTGCTTCACTTTCAGTATCCTCACTGTTCTGTGGATAGGTGTAATACTGTTAACTGAGGATGGTGACTCTTGCTTCTGAGAAAGGTTGCCTACTTTCAGCACCTGCTAGTAGTGCTTAGAGAAACCTCAGCACTCCATGAACAGAGGAGCTGAAAAATGACTGCTTTTTTCTGCTGTTAATCATGCAGTTCTGCAATGCTGCTAATTCTTCCTCATTCAATGCTCTGTACCAGCGATGGGTTACATTCCACAGCAAAAGTGCCAAACCCTGAAGTTGACCATTAACTGTCCTTTCATTAAACACTTCCTACAAATAACTGACAGCATCAACATGTATTCAACCAATTCAGCAAGTTAACCATAGAAGTTCTCTCTCATACCTCCCTGGTGTGTAGTCAGTCTGTTTGCACTCATCTTCACACTCATTTTTCTTCTGCTTTGCGTCAAAAACAAAGGAGCCAGAAATATCCTGATCCTTGCAGAACCATTCCTGGGAATTATCTGAGGGTTCTGTACTACTAAAACCAGAGAAAAAAAAGAAAGGATTTTAAATACCAGCCATCTGACTTGCAGTTTAAGCTGCAGTAATAATTAACAGTTCAACTCATATGACATCCAAATGGTGCAAACAACTTCTACCACAGGTCAACTACCCCACAGCTAATACTATTTACACAATGCAGTTACAGAGCTAATAGAATTCCATTCATTCTTTTTCCCCCCATGTAATAGTCCAAATCTTGCAAAGTATTAGGTGGCATCAATTTGGGGAGCTAGCCTTGTTACAGAAATTCATAGTTCTAAAAGGTAAGAAATGCCCCAATTTCCATCCTGAACACAGTTGCCACTCTCCTGTAAAGAGAGCTTTTTTCTCTGATCTTCTTACACTTTTCAAAGTCTCTATTGCAGGAGAAAGGGGGTTCGCAGACATCAGTAGAAGGGAAGATAGACAGGTTAGCAAGTTCAGGGAACAGTAATCACTGATCTCCTGCTTCTGCCTATTCTTTTCTAGGAAAGTATTTTCTCGCCTTGTGCTCATCACTGTAAACCCACAGGGGAAGGGAGCGTGTTACCGCAGACAGACCAAAAGCCTTCCTCCCCAAAGCACCTTACTGGAGATGAATTTAGACTAAATAATGGGAATATCTCAAAAGACTAAAAGAATTCAGAAGGAAAACAAGGCTTTCAAGGACACCGCCACTTCCGAGCCTGATAGCTTCTCTTGCTCCCAGTTAGCAATCCTGTAAAGGAAATACAGGGCCCTCTTGTGAAGCAAGAGGCACATGATGATTTAATGCACCCATGACTTTAAGCTGAAAGAGGGTAGATTCAGATTGGATATTAGGAAAATACTCTTCACTATGAGGATGGTGAGGCACTGACACAGGGTGCCCAGAGAAGCTGTGGTTGCCCCATCCCTGGCAGTGTTCAAGGCCAGGCTGGACACAGGGGCTTGGAGCAACCTGCTCTAGTGGAAGGTGTCCCTGCCCATGGCAGGGGGCTGGAACTGGGTGACCTTTAAAGTCCCTTCCCATTCAAACCATTCTGTGATTCTATGATACACACACAGGCTGGAGATCCCAGGTTTCTTCAGTAGGAGGATCCCAGGCATGCAGTGCTATCTTCCACAGCCTGATTTGCTGGTCCCAGGACCTACGGCTGTACTTCTTAAATTTGTTGGGAGTTCTAGGATGAACTCCTGGTATCCGTTGATTCCTGTAAATACACAACAACAGTTATTATTTCAGAACATGATTTTTGTTCTTAAAAAGAAAACAAAAAAAAAAAAACCAAACCAAACCTCAGTCCATCAGATCACACAGGCATCAGTGCTCTCATAAATAAAACATTTGTATTTTAAACTGAAATGTGTATACTCTAGAACACTGTCAAAAAGACGGCCAACAGCTAACAGCAGCACAGAGTCACACCAGTCCAGCACTCTGACACCTGCCAAAAGGAGACCCCTACTGCCCATGGACAAATATGAAACAGAAGAAGCATAACTCATACTCCTTCCATAGTATCCTAGCCTCCAGCTACTTCTACCTCAGTGCTCCTGAGTCAGGTGTAGTTTCTATATATTTAGTATTGTACTGAGTCTGGCTGTGACAGAGTCACATCAATACAGCAGTCCCTGTATTGATTCATGGCTAAAACAGTGCTAATAACACTCTTTATTTTTGGCCACTGTTGAACAGAGCTTGCACAGCTTCACAGCCTTCTCTTTCTCCATTCTGCTCTGCCCCCTTCTGCAGATACTAAGCTGAGGATGAACAAAAAATTGAGAGGGGAAACTGCTGGACAGTTGACATTCCAAACCAGATAATGTCACGCTCAGCAGTGAAAACTGGGGAAGAGGAAGATGTGTCTTCCAAAGTGGCCACTGCTCAGGCTGTCAGGGCACCAGTCTGCTTGTGGGAGCTAGTGAGTAATTGCATTTGCATTGCTTGGCTTTTTCCTCCCCTTTTCTTCACCTATTAAACTGCCCTTATCTCAGTCCCATCACTTTTATTGCTCTTGCTCTTCCTATTCTTTTCCCATCCCACTGGGGAGAGGGGGGGAGCAAGTAACTGTTTGGGTATTTGGCTCATGGCAGGGATCAAACCACAAGTATCTTCAGTGAACTTTTATTCCATCATTGTCCATGCATTATCACAATGGGGACTGCTGTAATTCTAAACAGCACTTGCCTCTTGGGAGCACAGAAAACAAAGCACCCCATTATCTGGGTAACATGCAAACGATACCCCTTTCCATGGAAAGGACAGACACTGTAACAATGCCGTTTGGGATCATCCCATGGCAGGAAGTGATGTTTCTCAGAGGGTATCTCAAATCTGGACCCTGAACATCAAACATCACTGGAAAGCTCACTTAAACTGTCTCTTCAGAACAAACCAATCCTGTTTATAGTGCTACCATACTGGAGTCAGCTTTATGTCTGGGAGGAAGCTTATTACAATCAGGTTTTCAATCACACCAAGTACTTTGGTCTCAAGTGGTCCCTTACCAGCTTCACAGATCAATGTTCCTAGCCATAACACTTTTTGCAAGATAGAGATCCCTGCTAAGGAGCAGTATTATAAACTACTCTGTTAAGATACCACCTAGACAACTTTTTTTTTAAGTTTACTCCATAGTTTTTTTTGAACACTGTTCTCACCCTTTCCTATTCTCCACCTGTGATTCAACTGATGACAGCAAAGCTATGCAAGTGCCAGGCATCACCCTAAGACTGGCTGCAGTCCTACCATTGATGACAAAGTGACAAGCAAAACTACAATTCACAAAGCAATCCAAGGCTCTTTGAAGAAAGAAAGTGTTATTAAAGATATGACCATGACACCATGTAGTATCTGATCATTTATGGCATTTGTTGTTGATTTTTAGTCATTAAATCTAGTCTTTCAAGTTTTGCTCAACAACAGCCTTGCAGCGTCCACTGTACTTAGCTGCCAGTTTTCATAATAGACTCTTACAGGTAGAATCCATAGAAAGCTGACAACTATAAGTAGCTAGCCACATGTAAAAAACACCTCTAAAAATAACCCTCAAAACAATAACAAAACCCACACAAACCAATCAAATGAGACCCACCAACCCCTCTCCCAAATGCAGATCCACACAGTAGTACAAACTAGCTTCTGAATCTTGACAGCTCTGCAGTAAGCAGAGGGGGCTTGCTAAAAAAATCTTGCTTAAAGGGCCACAATTCACAGACTCTGAAGCCCAAACTGTAAACACAGAGAAAGGAAAAAATCCAGGTTTTGATCTGTTAGTTACTGATAAATCACTGAAGACTGGTTTTCCTTACCAATACTTAAATGCAAGGCTTTGCTCAAGCCTCATTCAAAGCTGGCATTTCCTGGTAGCAATTAATTTCTCACTGGCCTACCAACACAGTCACCAGAAACTGGGATGATTAATGCAGAACTTATTTAAAGCATATTTGCCATTAGCAACAGCAATACACAAAGGGAACATTCAGCTTTGAATTTTCCCTATCTAAATTTGCTCATATGCAGAAAATACCTGGCTTCTCGTTCATAAAAGTCAATTATGTTTTCATCACTTACTGTTCGTACAATTCTAAGTGCATTGAAGATGTGTGCTGATCTATACAGATGGCAGGAAGAAGTAAGAGTTTATTCGGAAATGTGCAACGTAGAGGAACTTACTTCGGAACTTCTTTAATATATCTGTCATAAGCAAGAGTATTTTTTCCAAAATTGATCTGTTTTTGTCTTCTCCTCAGAACCACTTCATCTGTTTCCCTTTCAGCTGGATTAGCAGAATCACTTGAAACAGAATTTAAAAGCAAAAATTAGAATTAAGTTGAAAAGAGCCTTGCAGCAAGTTATAAAAACACATACTCCAGAACTGTGTTTATTCTTACTCTGACAGACAGTAAGCACAACTCTTACTTCACTAGTGAAGTGAAAATTGTGCTAAGCAAATGAATCACTCCATGATTAGGTTTTGCAAGTTGATTAAATTGCTCAGGTTTGTAACAGATTGAGGTTAGTGGTGCTACAGCTGCCTTACTAGAAGCTTATTGCTAACCCTACAACAAGCAAATCAAATGATACATGATTATTGCATGTATGTGTAACAACCTCCTAATACAAATATGAAAAAGCTTAAACTCAATAAAACTAAGATGGATAATATAAAGGAGGCAAGCTTGAAAGATCTAACAGCCATTTCTCTCTCCTAGCTTCAATGGCTGGTTTTCATTTGTCCTTTCACTATTACAGTATTTTCTGTTATGGAAAGTTGTAATGAATATGCAACCTAAGCTGAAAAAGAAGAGAATCTAAATGATCACATAAGTAGCTTTTGAGATAAGACTTCTCAGTACTACTGTCTCCTTAAGGCTTCCTTCAGGCTTGAAATCAAACAGCCTGGCTGTTTTTCAAGTCCTCATTAATGCATGCAAAGTAGTCAGAGATCAGCAGATGGCTATTGCTAAAACCAACACAGCAAGAGTTAATAATTAATAGTTAATAATTGCCCAATACCCACTTTGTCACTTTTTTATTTGATGTTTTCACAGCTTTGCCTTCTTCAATTCTGTCTTCCCAGTCAGGGCAAGAAAAAGTCCTTGAATGTTCTGGTGCTGTAGAACTGGAAAATAATGGAGAATTTAATATGAACATTTCTTGCTTGTAACAGAGGAGAAACTTCAAGTTGTGGACAAAACCAGTTCCACAACTGTAAAACCCTGGGCATGCCCCTACTCTATTTCAGTTCAAAGTCAAAAAAATCAAAACCTTTCAGTGTTGTGATGCAAGATTATCAGTTTTACTTTGCAGGTAAAGAAAACGCTCATGAATTTCCTGTCAGAACACAGACCTGACTATCTCCTAATACACTCGAGCTCAGTTAACGCAAACCCCTCTCCCCACTGCTTGAGGACCTCCCCAGAGAGCACAAGTCATGAAACTACTTTAGGTCAAATCATCTAGTTACTGCTCTCTCCCAGCAGTAACATTCGCTGAGTGGAGAATAACCAGGTTCTTCATTAACGTAAAAATGTAGTAAGTGACAGTTGTATAATGCTATAACATTCTGAAGCACTGAAAACTTCTTTCAGTCTGTCCACTTCTTTCAGTGCCAGTGCCTCAATATTTAGTGTAAGTAGTACAGAAGCAGATTTAGCTTATACTTTTGCTTTCCCTAAACAGTTTCACATCAACAAATGAAACTATCATCCAATGCTGCCAATGTCATTTTAACATAGAACAAAGATTCCGTGCTAAGAAGGAACATATCTGCTTAGCAGAAAGAAACACAAAATGCTGCTGGCACATTCAGTTTGACTCATAATCACAACATACTGTTAATATTTTTTAATGATAGCAATGACACTGAAAACACTCCTGAATACAAGGGCTTTTGTAAGCTCTTCAATAGATTCATTAGCTAAAGCAATATTAAACTTGCTATCAGAAATGACAACCACCTTCATACAGGGTAACACAGAGATGTATAAATCATATTAAAAAAGTTTTCTGATGCCCACAGTAAAACATTTCACCTCTTCTAACTCCCATTCTAACATAGTTTTCTGCACATATCCAAGCACTCACAACTTCTCATCCTTGGACTATAAAAAAAAAAGAAGTATCTACTAAAACTGTAGTACAGTTGAAAATACCAAGTGCACTGTCAAGTGAAGAGACAAACATCATGGTCTGCCCACACTCACACATAAAGATGTGTAAGCAAAGTGTAAAAGTGCAACAGCATAGTGGTTCAATGGACATTTTATACTAACATTGAAGACTTCAGCAACTAAGGCATAAACCACTGCCTCAGAATATGCAATTTCTCTCATTCATATGGAATACTTGCTAATATTATGGCATATATTTCAATTAGCCAAACTGAATTACAGAATCGTAGAACAGTTAGGGCTGGAAAGCACCTTAAGATCACCTAGTTCCAACTCCCCTGCCATGGGCAGGGACATGGGCAGGGACCTTGCATAATGCAGGTAATAATTTTCTAACTCTGTGCTACTGTGTTATTAGAAAGCCTTCAATCACATCCAAGGTTTTGCTGGATTCCTAGAGAGAAGAGTGCAGCAAAGCGAAGGTTTAAACAAATTTCACATTTATTCCTTACCTCTCCAGCCATTGGTCTAAATGTCTACATTGATATTCATCCAACACCAAAGAATCTGAATCATTCCAGCTGCTACATTCCTGTTCTTGACGCCAGCAGTGTGGTTGCACAGAACTAGAAACCAAGAATTTTCATCAGAAATCCAAGTCACTGAACACTGCCTATACAAAATTGATAGAGACAATCTGGGTACCATCGTGTAGTTACAAAATGCTGATTTGGCATGCAGATACGTGATTTGTGCCACCTTATCTGAGCAATACTAAGTTACCAAAGGTGTTAGACAATGCACTTGTCAAGAAAAGGTCTTTGACTAATGAAACTTTTAAATAAACCATTATTATTTAGGTGATTTGCAAACAGAAAAGAGAAAAAAAACAACAGAGGGCTGCCAACACTGTTTATGGAACTGCTGACATGTCAACACTCACAGAATGTTATCTGTCAGCAACACATTATTTGACATTTATATACCATTCCATCCAGTACTTAACTTGCAGAAGTGGTGAAACAAAATCAGCATGTGTAAGAAGTAGGTCAAGCAGTTATGTGGAACACTTTTATACACAAGTAAGCATGGGACAAGGAGCTAGACTAGGGTGCTTGAAACATGCTGGAAGGACAACTAGAGATCGCTTGAAGATTAATAAGAGTTATCTTCATTTTCCTCCTCAGTTCTGGAGAAACTGAGGAAGGAAACTGAGAAGGAGCTCTGACATTTTAAATGACAGGTTACTAAACACAGCACTGTCACAGCACCTACTAACATCAGACCTGGCTTCCAGGCTATGGATCACACCTGCAGGTCCACCTCTGCCTGCCTGAGAGAATAATCCTGTATTACAGACCACAAAGCAAACATACTGCTGTTCCTTCAGTGCAAGTGAACACACTGCTTTGTGTATGCAAGGTCTCTGCAGGTTTTAAGTCAACAAGAGAGAGAGAAGGAAGGTTTTGGTTATTTTAATCTTACATTTGCAACTTATGTTTTCTTTCCCTTCCTCCTTCACCCTGACTGGCTGTCAGTTCCCTGGTCCCACAGGGCTCCAACTTACTGACACACATTACATATGGTTTATTCCCTGCTCCCAGAGAGTTCAAAGTTGCAAACACACAGCACAAATAGCTCACTTCCAATCATGGATCTAGGCAATGGGACACTTTCAACACATTTGGTTTCTGCAAAGCTTAGTCACTGGATAAAACCCTTCTCTAAGCACCCTCAACAGTAATCACTCAATTCAAAGACTTGAAAGAAAAGGGGAATGGGGGGAAACACATTAACTGTGTTTTAGGCACAACACTCAAAACCTAGAGAAAAATGCTAGCCGAAAATTCCCCCTTTTCAGAAGTATTCCAATGTTTCTTTAACCCGCCCGCTTCAGGGTCACCCAAAAAGCAACCCCAGAGATCCCCAGCCAGACTCAGGGCATGTAACCGAAGTGCACACACTGAAGCCTAGGCTGCGGCCTCCAGTTCACTCCGAGCCCAGCTCCCTACCCGCTGCCAGCAGGGACCGAAGCAGCCTCTACAAGCAGGCTCCCCCACTGAGGCCGCCTGCTCGCGGGGCCCAGGAGAGGACCTTTGGTAGAGGACGACAAGCGGGTACCGAGGAGGACGAGGCTGAAGGGGGGGGCGGGAAGGCGGAAGAAGTGCACCCTGCGGCCTACCCCCACAACAGCCTTCCCCACAGACGCCCTAAAAGACCAACACCCGCCAGGCCCCGGCCGCCCCGTCTCTCCGCGCTGGCTCCCACCTGCGCAGCCCGCCCGGCTCCTCTCCGCCGCCTCCCTGGCGCGGCAGGCCCCGCTGCCCTCCGAACATGGCTGAGGCGAGCGGCGCCGCCGCCGCGGAACATGGCTGCGCCCGGGCGCGGAGACAAGCAGCGCACATGCGCGGCAGCCCTGACCCAGCGCGGGTGTCTGCACATGCGCACTAGCTGCCTGTGTGGTGACTGGGGGTGCTGAGGTGAGGGCTGGAAGCGGCTGCGGGGCGTTGGGAGCACGAACAGGCTCCGTTTCCAGCCAAGGTGGTCTGTCTGCTGGATGTCCTGAGGTAAATCAGCTCCGGAAAGGGTGTACAGGCACCACAACGTACACCCCTGAGAAATGGGGCCGCATCTTACACCGTTAATGGCATACACTACGTTCTCCTGTAGCCTGTGCTTGTTAACATCCCTTGTCCACGGTAAGAGAATTGTTTTACGTAGGAGACATCATTGCTGTATGCTAGTGAGACCCCGAAAAGACAAAAGTCATTGCCCCTACTGATTTTATGACATTCAGTGTTCACTCCTTTCCCCTGTTTGTGCTTTTTTGGTGGTGGTGTTTTTCCTCAGATACATAGATTTCACAGACCTTCCGTTTATGCCACCCTCTGCATTCAGGTTACAGTAGGAAAATTCATCAAAGAAGGCATTATCAGGTGCGCCTTCAGGAGAATTTAAGCCCACTTTGTATTCAGCTGTTCTCAGCTAAAACCTATACAGATAACTCAGTCTGATTACCACCCATATAAAGTTAAATAAACTGGCAAAGGTAAATTTAAAATGAAAACCAAAAGTCATACATAAAATCAATTGTATTTTTATTCAGCTCTTCAGAAACTTTTAAGATTAACTACAAGGATTCATTAAGCCTTTTCCTTAAAGGCTATCCAAATAATTCTGTGTGTTTTAAAACAGGCTAGCTGTCCTGGTAAAAAGCAAAACAAGAACAAAACAACAAACCCTGTGATACATCTTTGGAAGAAAATTTATTGTAATGCATGTAAAAGCTTGACTACTTATACCTCAACTCTTTAAATACCTCAAAGTCAACATCTCTTAAAAAACGGCACTCAGAACTTTAGTCAGTTATGTCTTGCTGAGGTGCAGCCTGACTGGAATGGTACAGAGCTGCAGTTCACCAAGTTTCAACACAATAAAAATATACTGAAGAAATCATATAATAACCTGGTATTTTGGTTTCAAGTTATGACAAGCCTTGTGGCAAAGGACTGCATTCATCTAATGGATTCAAAATACATTCTGCTTGGTCAAAATGCCTTTTTTTTTAAATTTGTTTAGCAAACTATGTTAACTAAAAAAATCAATGGATAACATTTTGCCAAGATTTTCTGGAATGCTACAATTACAGAAATAACACAACTGTGGAAATAAATAATACAGCCACAGCCCATGTTTTCAGAAACACCTCTTCAGCTGCAGCACATGGGGACATTTGGGCTCTTCATGTATACACACATGGAGTATTTATACTGACATTGTGCACCCACATATAGCTTGTCTTATTGTAATGACATTACATTTATGTAACAGTACTTCAGATTACTAACATTGCCCACCCACAAGTCAGTGATGTGGAAAAACATATACGCAGCTGAAAACACAACACTAAATCACTAATAATTAAATAAAAGTCTTTAAGTATTTTAGCCCATCATATTACTTCTTCTTTTTCTTACAAAGTGCTATAAAAAGACCAACTCTAATGTATTTCTTGTTACTGCAAGTAAAGATCTTCTCTAGAAACAGTCCTATATGTATATGTGGTTCTTTAGATGATGATCTGAAACTACCATGAAGATAAACGTCTATTTTTATACTGTATTATTTTCATATTCCATGATTTATTCAAGATATTTATCACATTACTCTGCAGGGAGAGGTCACAGTTCCTCCCTCTGCTGTCTCTATGAATATGGACTTTTAACAAGGTGGGTTTTTAACACAGCCTTGAAAAAGCCTGCAAACTTTGGAGGCATGCCAGATCATATTGAGATTTAAACTTGGGGAAAAAATGCTTGTTTTAAGGAATTTAAGCCAGGCACTATTATTAACATAAATCATAATTTGGTTTTGGTAATTATTACTATGTTTCAAGAGGCACTTCTGTGTATAGAGCACTACCATTAACAGATGCAAGCGTAGTATACATTTATGACTGTTACTTTCTCGCACTGTTATACTGGCAAAAGAAATAAGAGGAGTAAAAGCAAAGTTCCACTGAAATGAAATCTTCCAATTATTTCAAATTAGATTTCTGCAAAAACAAGTCCACAGCACAAGAAATCAGCAGACTAAAGCTTGTATTACATGAAATACTATTGGAAACAGACCTGTTTTTCTTGTATAAAACCATCTGCAATTACCTGCATCTATTATCCAAGTTTCTCAAGGCCTTTACAACTTTAACTTCATGGATGTTTACAATAAATATTTTTATTCCAAATAGGAGAAGAGCTCTAGGAATTGAATGACTGTCAGTGGCCAAACCACAGCTCCAGAATCCTACCCTCTCTTCTGCAGGTGCTTCAAGGACAACATCCCTTCTATCTGTGCCACATTATGTAAACTCCCAAGAAGTAATGGGTTCAAAATGCTTGTTTGTAAAGGCTGCTGTATGTGAGGAGGTGCATGTCTGATGACACCACCCAGCCCTGTAAGAATCTTCTCAAGTTAAAAAACTCTGCAGAGAACATTTCAAACTTCCAAATAACTTTCCCACAGACAGAAATACTGGAAAATATTTTAAATTAAATCACAGAGCAGCTCCTTGATTTTTTGTTTAGTTTTCAGGCTTGTCAACAAATCCATCTGAAACTCAGGAACTCAATCCTATCCTGTTCAAGAAGGACATGCCACTTAAGATCTCGTTGGGGAACAGACACATCCATACTACCAGTCTCATGTCAAATTTTAAGTCTACACAATCCAAAATAACACAATATGAAAAACAGAAAAATCACTGTTATTAATAGCTACTATAGATAATTGCATAGTTGATGTTCAGTATGTAACAACTGAGACACCCTCAAGCAATTCCATGTCCTTGAACCCAAACAGTTTGAACTTTTAAAAGTGCAGATTATTGAAAAACACCAACACTAGAACATATCTCAAATGATGCTGTTGAATCTGTTCTCAATTCCTTATCCCTCTCCAAAACAACGCCTGCAGCCACATTCATAACCATTTTCCATCTAGCTGGCTCTGAGTGCAGTTTGGTATGTTCACCACATGACCTGTGGCTTGGCTGAGACTAATTACATCTTTCATGCTTCCAGTGCTTGTACAGTTTTTAACATCCTGCCTCTTGTGCCTGCTCAAAACAGTTTCCTGCTCAAAACATCTTGGCAGTCAAGATGTCTTCATGTAGTAACTTGCCAATACCTAGGGGGGCCTATAAAAAACCTGGAGATGGACTTTCTGCAAGACCATGGGCAATTTACTAAGGTGATCCTTCTGACTATGCAGGTGGAAGATCTTAGGCTTTTATTCTCTTAGACCAGAGGATCAAAATGCTCCTTTCTCTATTTGACCCAACTGGCTGCCTGAGGTTACCAGCCTGCTAAGATGGACAACCAAAGTAAGCAAATACATGTATCTCAGCCCATGCAGTGCACAGGCCAGTGTAACAACTCACATTCTCTAGCAGCTTGAGGCTTTCCCCCATGAAGTATGCCAAAGAACTGTTCACTTAAGGGTGTGACAGACAGCTAGAAGACGAAGCATTGCATTTAGGTCCAGGAGTAAGGTTCTCTTAAATGTATTGAAAATGCTTTGGGTTTAATTTTCAGAATACGCTGATGCAGATCAGATCAAGTGTATATCAGTACCCCACGAATATTAAAACCAGCAACTACTGCTTACGATCAGTCCTGGAATTGCAAGCCTGAAAACCTTTTGCTAATGATAATCATTATTCAGGCATCTAGCATGTCAACTTCTACCTTTGTGATCCTGGCATCAATTTTAGAGGCAAAATAACCCCTCAGAAAAAGCTTATGGGCTTTGGAACAGCTGAGCATTCTTTCAGAGTATTTAGATAGTTCAGATGTTTGCTGCACTCTACTCAAATGTATAAAAAAACCCATGTCCATCACCTAAAGAGCATTGAAACCCTAAGCTATGCAGCTTCTAGCAACCAACAGATTTCACAAAGCATAGCATTAGCAGCGCAAGTAAATGGGGAATGTTTCCAACTCCTTCTGTTGTCTGAAATAAATACATCCATAAAAACATAAGCCAGAAGCAGATTACTGGAATAAAAGGTCCCTGTGGGAGTTACACATCTTCAGGGACTAAATTCTTAGCCTACAGAAAATGGTCCCCCTTCTCAGTGGAGGGGAGCAGCACAAGGAACACAATTGGTATACTTATTCAGTGAATACTGCTAAAGATTAATAAGAACTTTACAAATGGATTGAAAAAGAACAAAAGTATCACTGATGTCTAACTAAAGTAATTTTCTCAGTTAGCCCTTTATTAAAGAATAAAAACCCAAGTTAAGTTTAAAAACTGAAAGAATTTAACCTGTGTTGAAACTTAAAAAAGAGGACAGTACTGTGAATGTAAAGGTATATCCTTATTCAACCCAAGAAGAAAACAAAGTCTGGATTAAATAAAATTCCATAAACTGACATGTAGGGAATAAAACCCAAAGATACAAGTAAAAGTTGAGAGGAACTGAAAAGATTTACATCTATTTTCAACACTGTAAAAGAAAGCTTTGGAGCCTGCACCTTTGTAGAACATGAAGTCTCAGAAACAAATCTAACAGGCCTTTTAACCAAACCCACTCTGAAATAATGAAGTTTAAAAAGTTAAAACATACCCATGTATTACTCATCGTATTATGCAAACATCTAAAATGCAAAATTTGGCTCGGCAAGTTGGACAAGGCACTTGGCTCGACAGCCACGTCTCTGGGCGCTGCTGATCTTGTCGGCTGGCAAACCATTTGCCCATGCAGGTGAGGCACCACATGGGACGACAGTAGCACTGCTGGCACTCCCCTTCGTTTGGCTCCTGGCAGTTCTTGATGAGCTTGATGTTAGCAATAGTCTGCATGCACCCTATGCATGGCTCCAGTTCCTAGAGAAAGAAGAAA